CCCCCCGACACACACACAAGGCCAGGGCACGTTCTGCTTCTGGGATGAGACAGCCTGGCCTCACTTGCTGGGTGAGCTTGGAAGTCACTTAAAGCCCTCTTGGATTCCCTGTTCTTGTCTATGAAATGCCAATGATAATTTTGGATCTACGTCATAAGGTTGTTCTGAGGATTAAATGGGATAGCAAGTGTAATGCTCCTAGCACAGAAGCTAGCCAAATGAAGCACACAAAAAAGTAATAAAAGCTACTACTATTTCAAAGCCGATGCTGTCATTGACATTTAGGGCAATAACAATTGTAAATCAATTGCTAGCCAAGATGAAATTTTAGAAATAGATTATCAGTAATTCCAAAGAAGGAAAACATTGTATTTTGTACTCTTCAACTAAGAGACTTACTAACACGCCTCTGCCTTCAGCTTAGAGCATACCAGACTCGTCTCATTACAGACGCAGCATCTCATCCCTGCTTCGCCCACTTCTGAACCGAAGGTAACTGAATAACATCCTGGGTTCCTGGAAGAGTCTTGCACAGCAATCGCACAATGAAAGGCACAAGAACAAACTGTTCCTTGGCCCTGTGACATTCGGGCTCATTGTGATACTAGTCCTCAGGCAAGAATCATAGATGTGATAAACAAAGGCTTTAAAAAGGTGGGGAAGGCACAGTACCTCTAATCGTTGTATGCGTCCCTTGAAAAACATAAAGAGGGAAGAATTTGGATAAGCAGCTTCTTTTTTGAGAAGAATTTCNCATTTTAACCAAGCTGCTAAAATTATTATCATTAGGAAGACTGAAGCATGAGGAAATACTCCATTCTTGTTCGAACTAGCCTGGGAACTTAATTTAAAAAAATTTTTTCAATTTTACATCAATGCCTGGATATACATCTGGACCTTCAGGTAACCCTCCAATTACTCACTGAAGGCACCTGGCATCCATCATCCTGACTACCTGACATCTGACTGATAACCATCCTGGACCAATCCTAGGGCTAAGAATGCAGGACTGACTATACTCAAGAATGTACTTTTTACTATAAGAACTTTTAATTTTTCTTTCTTCTTTGGAATACTTCAGGATTTTTGCCTACCTGGGTATTTCTAGCAAAGCCTCCAGACTCTTTTTGAGTTTGTTCCACAGTATCACCCTGAATTATAATTTGTTTAGTCCTCTTTTTTCCCTTCTAAAACCATCAGTTCCCTAAGGGAAAGAGCTACAGTTCATTCATCTCTAGGCCATTAGCACCTATCGCCTTATAGTGTCTGAAACGTAGTAAGTGCTCAATAAATACGGGGGAAAAAGACTGCCGGTAGATACAAGTCCCTGCCCTCAAGTAGTTTACAGCCTAATACTGTGGCAGACATGAAAATTAAATTTGTATTGCTGTGTTCTGAATGCTCTGACTGGCTATGTACAGGGCACATGCAGAGCAACAAAGGTCTCATGATGAAGTCAACGAGGAAAACAGTCCATGAAGGAAGTTGGCCTGGCCTCACCTGGACAGGCAAGAGAGAAACAAAGGGGATGGGGGAGTTCCTGCTGAGCGGGTAGTGTGCACAAAGACACGAGGCAGCAAAGGGCATCGGGGAACTGCAAGGCGCTCTGCTTAGCTGGATGCGGTGGTGAGAAGGCAGGGAGGCTGGGAAGGGAGCCAGGTTCTTACATGCCAGCTGAGGAAGGAAGTCGGACTTTCCCTTGTGGGTGATGCAGAATAGCTAAGTGTTTAAAGCACACGTGTACCAAGGTTTAGATAGATGGCTCCAATGGCCACATAGAAAATGTGGCCTGGAGAAGCGTGTGAGTCAACAGCAGGCAGTTACACTACTGCAGGGGCTAGTTCCACAGGGCCTGGGGACAACAGCGGGGAAACTCTGGCTTCTTGGCCGCCTGGAGGGTGGTGGCTCAAGTAACCAAACTAGGGTGATGGGAGAACACTAGAAATTCAGGTATGACATGGCTCAGGTGCTGGTTCTGTCATCATTAAGCTGTGTAAATCATTCACCCTTAACCAAATCACTCAGCTTTAACTGCCTTACCTGNACAAATATTTTTGAAATAAAAATTAATGATCTTAATAGCTACCAACTGATTAAGAGTTAACATCCAAAGTCCTCAATACTGACATGAGCAGAAATAGAGCTCACTAAGTTCTCTGGATACCAACATTTTTTAGAAAAATTTTGATAATGGTAAATGTCAAAGGATAGCTAGTGTTTGGTAAAATTACACAAATTACAAATGATAGATATTTACCAGATTGAAAAAAAAATCACATCATTTTTAACTGATGGAGAAATGGGTAAATCCTTGCTCTGGACAGTATAGACTTCTGTTTAAATAACTGTCATTTAAGTTTAGACTAAACAACATAATACAACTCAATTTAGTTGAGTAGCACAAAATATCCAACCCACATAAAAGAGACCAATGGACTGACCAGAACCATCAAGGAAAATTATCCAATATGAAGGTAAAAGAATAAAAATTTCGGAATCACAAAAAGTCTTATCAACTTTGTATCCCTTAAGTCCAAAAGTCAAAATCGTGAATCTCAGTGATTGCAGCCAAGGTCACAAAAACTGCTTATAAAATCATTTCAAGTTGAAGAATAGGGTCATTTGTTTTTACCAGTTTAAAATACAGGACTCATGAGACTTAAGAACAATGCCTTGTTCTCCAAAGGAAGCTCATAAACACCACCAAAAACACAGTCCTTGACATTGCAGTAAAAGACGTAAGTCATGGCATCATGTCAATCAACCAGGCATTTTACCTGAAGTTTCCTTTAAAGGTTTTGATTGTTGTTCACTTACTTTCAACACTATATTATCTACCAAAGCATTGCAATATAGCTACTCACGTAGCTAAAGGGGCCTTCATGTCCTTACTTTCGCTTGCATACATCAGTGAAGAAAGCCCCTGTAGGCGGTCTCCAGGAAAACCCAGCAGGTTGATGATTTTGAGCAGGTTTGGGGGCACCATGGATATGCAAAGGTGAAAAAGGCCATATCCAAAGCTAACAGCACCTTTCAGTCTGTTTAGAGACTCCTCAGACACCCCTTCAGTCACAATGTGATTATCATTTGCAGCATCAGAAGTCAAGGGCTCTTCAGTTAGCTTCTTCTGATACAGTTCCTGGAGGGCATTGATGTCCAGATAGCATTTATTGTAAATCTTCCAGGCTTTCCTAAGGATCCACCCACCTTTTATATATGCTATAAAGAGAAGAGGAGAAAAGCATGAAAAAATAAGCATTTGAAATAATTTCCCTATATTAGTAATAAGGGATATTGGAAGAACAGCCTGAAACTCAAGCAAAATTAAAAAAAAAACAAAAATTATCACCTATCATTCATTGCTCCTTGTTTTCTTCATAGGGCTTAAATTCTTTATTTGTTGTCTGTTTCCCTTTACTACACTGGATGACCCCTTGGTAAAAAACATGCATTATTTTGTTCACTATTTTATCAAGCCCTTCATACATTCAGTAGGTCATAATATATAGTATATACTGAATGAAAGAATGAATGAATGATTGTGAGCACGTATCACTTGAATCTAACTTTTTTTCATGCATTCTGTGAAACATAAACCTCCGGTGCGTCTCTGAACATCCAAGGTGCTTTCCTGATAAACCTCTTTTATTAACTCTTCCGTTTGTCTACCCCATGTTTCATTCCTCCTCAAGAGCAAGTTCTAAGTCTAATTCACTACTAAATTTATACCCAAGCACCAAATATGGACACTAGCCAAAAAAAAAAAATGAAGCAAACCAACAAAAATAATATTTATTGGGTGAATAAATGGCCATTTTATTAATAAAAAGTCGTTAGTGTTAAATGCAGAAATGCAAAGAATCCCAATTCATCTCCATCTAACACCTATTAGTGGCATCACCACACCTTATTAGGGTGGTTTTATTCGGTGTATGACAGTGGTGCTCACCCACTGTCCCAGGCTAAAGAGACCCTGTGAAGGAGGGTGGCAAAGATGAAGTTACTTCACACCCGAGGGTGAAAATTTGTTATTTTTAAAGCTGCATCCATTATTTCCCATTAGGGCAATTTTTCTTAGCAGAGCCCTCTTGAGACTACGTGCCGCAAAGACGACTTCGGAGATAAGACCTGGGATTCATCCCACTCTATGTCCCTGGCCCGTCTCAGATAAGCTCTCAGGTCCTGTCTGAACCGCTCTCCTGCAAACAAATGTTTTTCCCTTCTGATGAGGAAGGGAAGGGGAAGCTGATTTATTTGTGTTTATCTGAGTGCATCATCACCCCATTTTTGAGAAAAAGGTCTTCTGCAGGGAATTTTCTGTAAAATTATTTTCTCATAACTGCAGAAGAGCGCTTATCTACTTGGCACTGTTACCAACACTCTAACCCCAATGTACAAGGAGAAGACAACATAAACTAATCCTACATTTCCAGGGCCTTTAGAACAGCAGGAAAATAAATTTTTAAAGTGTTATTTTTAAATTACAGAACATATGTAACAAAAAATCTGATTTCTAAGGGTCCAATCCCTGAACTGAAAGGGGTCTAATACATAGTACGTGCAGAAAAGAGTTAACACAGCAGGCTTACTGCTATCCTTTGAAAGACCTGCTTATATTGTTGGTCCTCAGCTGATATCTGGGAACTTGGATTGGGGAGGGTTCCCACCATTCACAGAACTGATAAGAGGGCTCACTGTGCCTACACTGTACAAACAATGTGTTTTATGTTGAACACCTGCTTTCCTTCTGGGAGTCTGGAATTTGGGTACACGCAAGGCAGAGGGTACCTACATGGTAGCGTCCCATAAACATTCTGGGCCCCGAGTCTCTGCTGAGCTTCCAAGTTGGTAACAGTTCACCTGTGTTGTCAGACTCATTGCCTTGGGAATTAAGTACATCCCATGCAACTCTACCAGGAGAGGACCCTGGGAAGCTTGTGCCTGATTTTTCCTGGACTTCTCCCCCTGCACCATTTTGTTTGCTGATTTTGGTTTGTATCCTTTGCTGTAATAAATCAAAGCCATGGGCATGATTATGAGCCGAGTCCTCCAAGCAAATCATTGAACCTGAGGGTCTTGAGGACCCCCAATCCATGGAATCAAGCTATTATTTTACTTAAATGTACTAATTTTCTGACAAATAACGATATCTCCTATGAGATCACAATTCAAAACACAACCATCCCACAAGTTCTAGATTCGTAATGTCCTGTAGCCTAAGTGCAGTGAAAAGAATGCTATAAGACAGGATGATCAAGCAAACCAAATTAGTCTATAAAAGCTTTTTTAAAAAGGGAACTATTTTTATAACTTTGTAATTATAAAACACATGTTTGAAACAATGTATTTTCATTCAGGTCAATTCAACAAAAATATCTACTGAGCAAACACTACATTTCAGGCACTGAATAAGAAATAAGACACAAATCCTGTCTTCAAGGGCCTCAGTGACATTTTCTCTCCTAAACAGAAATATTGTGGGAAAGGAAATGTTTGCGAAAACTCTGGAGCGCCTTTGTATGCTAGCAAAGTGTTTAGGCTGATCCAATACGTGCACAAACATGAAACTCTCAGTTATGATTCAAAAAGCCAAAAACTGAATAGAAAAACGGAAAAAGAAACTAACGGGAAACTAACATATATTCTTGAAATAGGAAACTAACATGCATACTTCAGAACACAAAAGCAACTGGGATCTAACTGAGGAGAAATAAACATTGGCTATGAATTTTTAAAAATGAAAGAAAACTTGCAAAATCTTAAAAATATTAATCAGCTGTTAAGTTTCTATTTTGTGCCTAGGACTGTGCTTGGCACCTGAGGGACACGAAAGAACTATAAGATACAAATAATATCAGCTGTCCAAATGCCCACAATAAAATTAGAAAATAAAAAAAGTAAGTGTGCGTCAGAGGATTTATTTATATGCTCCATTAGGTAATATACAGAAAAATGAAAACAATGTTGAGATTATGAGTGAATTGTTCTTTTTTTTCCCCGTTTCCTCATTAGATTGTTTTCTACGTAATAAACACACATAAATTAGAAGGCACAAAATAAGTATTGCAGGATTTTAAAGAAAGCTTTACTCCCTTCTACCCCAATGCCTTAGCTGGAAATTTAGGGAGGGAAATGTAACTCCATTTTTCATCCTGCATTTTCCAGGCTATGCAGTGTTATCAAGTGAGCGAATCTCCCATTTGGGGGAAGGCAGCACTCCAGGACAAAGAAACAGGCATGTGGTATGCAGGCACAGATGGACAAGCTGCTCACAGGCAGAGTGAAACGGGACACTGGGACAAACGGGTGTAGGGATGGCGTGCTCAGATTATGGAGGCCCTGCTGTCCAGCTGAGGAAGGGAACCTGCACAGAGAAGCAGGGAACTTCTACAGTTGGGGTTCAGGGGACTAGTGTTAGGGAAACAATCCAGATCTCAGGTGAGGAGTTACAGAAAAGGATGGTAGCAATAGAAACAAACATAAAAATCCATCATGACAACTGCACAGAACTCGGTTAATAAAATGAAACAAAAACGACATGATTAAAAACTCCATTTTTATAGAATAAAAATGAAATTAATTCAACATGTCTTTGATTGCTTGCCTAAGATAGGAGTTTCGGTGTCAATGTTTAAAAGGACATGTTAAAATCTATAGTAACAAGTTTCAGTGCCCTTCACTTGAACCAAGTAAATAGAGCCCAAAGCTTTGACTAAGTCAAAGATTAGAAACTGAAATGTGTGCAAAACAAAGTTAATGCCCATGTAGAGAGAGATTTTGTTTTTACGACTTTCTAAGTTCACCTTGGCACTGAGACAGGCTTCCAGGACTTGCTCTACTACTCCCAGTCCTAAATATTGTGACTAAAATGTCGGAGTACAGACAGACCCCGAATGCGTGAGCAGAGGCTGAGCAAGGCTCAGGCCGGGCGGGCGGCAGACAGCACCTCCACTCTTGCAGGAGGGACTCTTAGCTCAGTGGCCTAACAATGTGGTCCGTGAGCGCACATCTTCCCAACAAGCAGAGAAAACAGTAGTCAAGAGCCCCGTACTCTGCACGGCCTTCCATATGGCTCTTCAAAAGGTCAAATATAAATCATTCAGCCACTATTATCTGTGCCTGTGGAGGAAGGCACAGAGAGCAGAAAAGCAAAGGCCATTTGCGATCCCCTATTGGGGCGAGCTTCCATCAGCTGGGACATGAAGGAGAAAGGAAACCTGTCCTCTAAACGCGCAGGGCTGAGGGGAGGGGCTTCTTCCTGGGAAAGGGCAAGAGCTATCTGGAAGATGAAAATATCAAGTTATACCAAATTGATCTTGGAAAAAAATGTATAGCTGTTTCAGCAGAGGCTGTATCTGGGGAGAGCTCCTGCCATAGCATTCTGTGAGTTCACTTGTTCTAGATGAGGCTGGTTAACCCTATCATGGAAGGTAAGCTGAGGCTTGCCTTTTGTATGATCCACATAACAGACTTTGAAAGAGAAAACAGATGATTTAGTTTTAACTAGTTATTATTATCTTTACCCCCAGTCAACAGACTTCCAATAGACTCACTTCTCCAATCCCAACTATTCTTGGGGCTTCTTGGGGTTCAATACCATGCATCTCTTTCCTGAATGGCATCATTCTTTCTTTAATTCACATATTACAAACACACCATGAGCTAGGCAAGGACACCATATTAGGGGCCAGGGACACAGAGAAGAAAACGGACTTCCATTCTTTATAACCCTGCTCAGGGACAGAGTCAGGGATCCTTGATCTTCCCAGGGATTAGGAATTGCTCATACCCTGTGCAACCTCTATGACTAACTTATATGCTTACTGGTTAAAGTACTGAGAAAAGAGTGAGGATAAGGAATACATAAAATGGAGTCATTTTAACCAAGCTGCTAAAATTATTATCATTAGGAAGACTGAAGCATGAGGAAATACTCCATTCTTGTTCGAACTAGCCTGGGAACTTAATTT